TTAGTGTTGTATGAGAATTTTTCCTGCATTGACAGCTTCTGTGTAATGTTTATTATTTAGTTCTTTTCGCCTCTTAATCCGGTAAGAGTACACATTGAAATTGGACCTGATGGCAGAGTCACTGGAGAGGCAGATGTTGAGTTTGCTACTCATGAGGATGCTGTTGCTGCAATGTCCAAAGACAAAGCAAATATGCGTAAGTTGCATGCTTGCTCTCCTACAGAAAGCATTACACCGTTTGCATAAATGTTAGATAGTAGAATAAATTACTGCTGTTATTATTTCTTAGTACTGAACAAGATATTTGCAATGAAGTGGCTAAACTTATGTATTCAATGAGAATTTGATGGTGCTTGTTTGAGCTCAGGGCATTGCTGTCTTTTTGTTTCCACAGAACACCGATATGTAGAACTCTTCTTGAATTCTACAGCTGGAGGAAGTGGTGGTGCATATGGAAGTCAAATGATGGGAGCAATGGGTAGGTGTAAGCGATTCAGTTTCATGTTGCTGCTGCTGATGTTTAACAAAACTGGCTGATTTTATGCAGTTCCTACTTACTCTAAATGATCTGAATCTGAAATTCAACTTTTTGTCTTCATCACAGTCAAGGAAACGGAAGGAGTAGTTCAAGATTGGAACACTAACACATTGGCAGGTATATACAATTTTTAAGTATACATTCCAACAATTAAACTGTTAAATAAATAATGTATGTGTGTATGAATGGTGCTATGAATGGTTCTAGGTTAGGGAGTGGTAACTATTCATCACATTTATATTTATTATAACAATAGTGGGGGAATGTTGCTAATGTTGCTATTTTCTTTTTGGATTAAGAATTTGGGATGAAGGGTTGAATTGGCAACTATTACTGTAGTGGACAGTCTTTTTAGTAATGTCCTTTTATTAGATATTTGAATTTCAAAGTGTGCTTTTCAGTACTGCAGAGAAGAAGTAATTTCAGATGCTGAGTTTGGTTATAGAAATTCTTGGTTTCATCTAGTGTAAGGGGTGTATGCTGCTTTTATAGCACTTTGCAAATGGTTTATTTGTGCTTTGCAGGATAAGATTAAGTTAAAAAAGCTTCATATTTTCAGCTGCAAAAAAGTTTTGCAGAGAAATGAAATAAGTAAGCTATTAATTAGAACTACAGTCATCCGAGTTTTGCATATTGCTTACTGAAGTAGATAATCAGCATTAGAAGCGATAGAATTAGAAGAATTAGTGATAAGAAAAGCTGATACCCATTTGCAAGTTGTATCTCCTTTAAGGGGCCAAATGTAGTATAAATTGTGTTTTAGCTATACAAGCACCAACATATGTAGCTCCATATTTCCAAACACCACTTAAGATTTATCCAGTTCACTTGAGATGAATGTAATATTTCCGAAAACAATTATGTAATCAAAGAACAACAAAATCACTTTCCCTACAAATTGACCAGCTCACATAACTGAATTCAGAAGCCACAAGAATAAATCATTTGAATACTTGTGTATGGAGATGTTCTCTGACAATGAAGGAAAAAAAATAGAATTGCTATAGAAAGACAGATGGGATACCCCCATTCCCATTTCCTGCAGGCCCTTGGGCAAGTGCGAGGCATACTTATTGTTTGTTTGGGTAGACTATAGCTCATACTCTTTATAAAATATGGTGATAGTCAAGGTCTTAACATGCATATCCTTAACTTGAAAGGAAGCCAATCCAGTTATGGTGGTCCAGCTAATCAACAGTTGAGTGGGGGTTATGGAGGAGGCTATGGTGGTCAAAGCAGCATGAGCGGATATGGTAAGATGTTTTTATTAGTCTTAGAAGGTGTGTGTTGGAATTAGTTAGCCATTTTATATGAGCATTAACATGCTTCAGCAGACAACTTCAGATATTTTGAGCTTGTCCAAGTATTTGGTTTTAGCTTTAGAAAATCAAAGTCTAGAGGAGCAAGGAAATGGAGTTTCCAGAGAGCGACCGATTGAGCATAGATTTTTTTTTAAATCTGAAAATAGTTTGGCAAATGCCGGGTGATCAAGATTTGGATCCAATCCACATGAAACTAGTTCTGACATCTCATGGTATGTAATGTGGTCATGTGTATTACTTTGTGTAGTAGAGGGAGGGCATGAAGCTATTCCAGGATTTGATTCTGTGCTTTGCAAAAATCTGGGAAACTGGTTTGCAGTTGGCTTTATAGATGTCTTAAATTTACAACGTCATAGAAGGAAGTTTGTCTTTTAATAGTACAGGATTATGCAAGGTGTGGTATAAGGGGGGAAACTTGGGAGGAGCATGTTGCCTTGGAAATAGCACTGCACTTTTGTACTAAATTGTATAATTTGTTATCTGCTTTAGGTAACCAGAGTGCAATGAACAGCAGCTACTACAGCAGTGGCAATCGTGCATCCATGGGGGTGAATGGCATGGCTGGAATGTCTAACATGTCCAACATGAGTGGTGGCTGGGGAATGTAACTTGTCACCTGATTTTTTTGGTCAACTTTTTTAAGAAAACAAAAAACTAAGTTTAACAGTTTTGCAATACAAGCTTGTGATTTATGCTTTACTTGTAAGTGAAATCAGGATCATTTTAAAACATTCAGGTTCAGTATTTTTGAATATGCTGAAACATTCATCTAGGGTGTAAGTCCAGTAAAGAAGTTCCTGTTAAACAACTCTCAGCTTTTTTCCAGTTTTTGTTGTAGGAGTGTATTTGAGCAGTAAGCGTATTTAGGTTAAAGCTGTTTCAATTATGTTAAGTGTTGCTCTTATACCATATAACACCAAACACTGTTTTCAGTGCATGTTCAGGAACATGCTTTTTGTACAAACAAGTTATAGGAGCTGTGTTGGAAATTCAAGTGAACCTTTGGCATGTTAGTTCTAGTTTTTCTTTTAATATCTTGTAAGGCACATTTACGCTTTTTAAGTTAATAGGGAAATGTGAGATGCAATACAGCTACCTTTAGGATTTTGGTCTTGGTGTTCATATGAAATCTGAGGCCTCGGTTTAATCTTTCATTGTGTTGTGATTTACTTTTAGGTGTATTGCGCTAAGTGAAACTTGTTCAAATAAAACTTCCTTTTAAAAACTGGGAACATCTCTTGATTTAAGTGAGCATTATATTTGCTGCCAACAATTCTCACATGCACATACTGCTTTAGCAGTTTTTAATCTTTGGTCCAGCATAACAACACTGAGATCAAATCAGGTAGGAAAGTATCTTAGCAATTTAAATCTGCAGTTAAAATGAAACTGCATAGAAATGTAAATATTACCAAAACAATCATTGTATACTGATCCTTGCTAGGAAATAAACTTTGTGCATGAAATGTTCATAGTTATCCTGCATAGTTTAAGCAAGCCAGAGAATGATTACAAGTTGTAAAGTGCTGTGCAGTTTTTTGCCCACCTAGGGTGGTTTTTTTAAATTGATGTTTAACAGTACCAAAATATATTGATAGTGTGATGTTTTAAAGTAAGCAGTTGTATGAAATGTTGGTGCAACATAGCTCTTTCCACTTGATGCAGAGATGCACATTTTCTTTTCAAAAATATTTAGTACACAGACACGCCTTGATCACCCAGTAATGGAACTTTTAACAGTATTTTGTCATACCATCTACAAGGATATAACTAAGAAATACTCATATTTCATAAGTCTTCCCCACAGGTTGTGAAGTTCACACACAGGTATTCCTTGTTTAACATCCACTCATCTGTGACTGTTGAAGTTACAATGGTGTTGAATGAGGGCTACTTAAGACAGGTCCTTGTAATTGTGGCCATTGCGGCGTCCCCATGGCCATGTGATTGCCATTTGCGACCTTCACTGCTGGCTTCTGACAAGCAAAGTAAATGGAGAAGTCAGCAGGAGATTGCAAATGGTGGCCACATGACTGCAGGATGCTGGGACCATGTGGGATTAGCCTAACAGCAACTGGGATTACTGGAACTGATGTCATTGTCACATGATGTGCTCTATGACTGTCACTTAGCGACAGAGTTCCTGGTCCCAATTACTATGGGTAAGTGAGGACTACCTGTACAGTGTAAATTCTCACTTCAATTGATTTTGGGGTGGGGAGGGAAGGTTATCTGTTAAAACTGAACATCTGATAACCTAGATCAAATTTTTCGAGCCTATCCATTTCTCTCCAGCAATATACAGTGGCAAGTGTTAAGATACTCAGTTGTTTACAAAACGATTGTGGGTGGGGGTATTGAGAACCTTTCCCAAATAGTGAATGCAGGATTGAACTAATGAGTTCCATTATTTGGGTTTTACCACATGCTAGAGGTTAGACTTGTTCATTGCATTTGAAGTATGCTTAACCAAGGTCTTCTAAATCAAAGATGATTATTTGACTACTACAGAGAATACCAAAGCTCAAAACTGGGTCTACCTGAAAGACAACCCTGTAATTGCCTCAGTGGTATGAGTCAACTTATGCCTTAATTCATTTCCAATATGTAAACACACATTCCAGGAAGGAAGCAATCCTAGTTCTCTTAATAATGAAATCAAAACTTACTTTACCTTTTCTGTTCACTCAGTGGTTTTTTCTAATGCCATTACTACTTTTTGACTCCATGCCCTTGTCCATCCTTTCCTGAACCATGTTATTCCCTTCAGCCATTTAAATTATATTTAGCTTTTTGCCTTAATTTCAAACATGCTAATATTTTTCCTGTCTTTAAATTATTTTGTTTTGATTTCAGGCTGTAGCAACATGGCATTTCCCATTAGTTTTCATTTTTCCAACTTGTTATTGATTCAGGATAGTCATTGAAATTAATACATAGCCCCAGCTGATGGCTTCATTGTGATTATTAATCTTCAATTCCAATTTAAACAATGTTTCTTTACACTGATTTCCCCAAATCCAGTAGACATCCTATTTGCCTATTACAACATACCTAGGTAACCTCATGTTTTTAATGCCTTTTAAGTGTTACTTTCATCTAATAGATCCAAATTAATAATTGAAGACTCAACTGCTTGCTTTTTCAGGATGTCCTTTATTTCATGGTCATTCTTTTCTCAGCCTTCAAGCTACAAAGACATAACATCTACCATGTCCTGTGTTCACAATTTTTAATGCTTCGCAGTTATTCTGTAAAACTATGTAATTGCTGCCCAGTTGTAAAAAAATGCATAACTTTTAAAATTGTATACTTCTATGGAAACCCTGGAAGACAGATTCATTAGTTTCTGCAGCATGCCCTTCTCAGCTCACCCCAGATAATACACCTTGAAAGTGTACTGTATTTTGTTAGTTTAAGGACAGTATGAAAATATGCAAATTTAGTTACAAATATATTAAAGAACATTTAACAGAAGTCCAGATCAACTTTATTGCATAATCACTATTTTACAGATAACTTATAAACTTTATTCTGTTCACTTTTGAAAGATTTAGAAGGCACATCCAAGCATACATCGCTTTAAAAAATGCTTTCATAGATTTAGATTTAAGACGTTAACATTTTCATCTTTTACTACATACACATCTACAGAAATTTAAGTGAACTGTTACAGAAGACAGATCGAGGAAATAAGTGTTCAGAAAAGTAATTTGTTTTGGAGCAAATCTATAAATGTGAAGTATAAAGTTAACATTCAAACAATAGATATTTTGGATTTTAAAAACAAAAGTTTGTGCACATTTTGCTGGCACTTAATCTATACAAAAATAGTTTCCGTGATTTTGGTATCCGATTTTTATAAATTCTTGTCCTGTTCAAATATAACATACAGTGCCATATATGATAACAAAGAATGGTGGAATTTAGAATATTAAAAAACTATTACACTTAAGGTTCATTCTCTGGTCTTAACATTTTGGAATATTTTAGGAAGAATTTGATGAACACCTCTGAAGCAGTAAAGTATGGCAGGTATCACAAACTCGTACAGGCTTTGGATATGATGGAAGTGCGAGTTCATTGCTTGAACAAGTATTACAAAAGATGTGACCGCAGTTTCGACAGTGGTGCTGCAGAAACAGGCAATGTAATCTTAGTATTAAAACAAACTTGAACGAAAATAATGACTTAAAAATGGCCCCAGCCCTGAAAAAGTTCATAGAAATCCCATAAGAACAGTGGAACTAGAAAGTTTGAAAATGCTACTTATGTCATCCCCTTCCAAATAAAATACTGCAATCACTTACTCTGGGAATATAAACTGGAAATGGACTACCTTTGGAATGCCTCCAAATGGCATGTTAGCTAGAGCATTCTGGGGTTGCTGATCATATCCCCTTCAGTCTTCTAAAGGATAAACAGTTCTTTCAAAGGCATCCGGAACACCATCCCCTACCCCCCGAGATATGTCTGCTCCCCACTCTGGACATGTTCAAAAGACCTGAAAATCTGGCTCCTTCCCTAGGCCTTGGATTAGAGTAGGTGGCAAGTCTTGCACGTTAGTTTTTTTTTCCTGGCATTTGGATGTGTATTTTTTAATTGTATGCCACCAAGCGTTGTAGAATTGGACAGCCTTATAAATTTCATAAATACATCTATTTGTCTTCATAGGACTTGCTTCTAGTCTTCCAATAATCCCCACTGCCCTTTCTGAACCTGTTCCAGTTTCTCTGAAGCCTTAAAAGTGGGGTATCCAGAGGGATATAGTACTTGACTTGGGGTATGACCAACGCACAAGAAATGCTAGCGCTGCTGATTTCTCTGAATTGTGAGATATAAAAGGCGAGACTTGGATTGCACTAGAATCAAAGGGGCATGTCTCAGGATTTAATTAGAATGGTGCAATCTTAACTCCCGCTTAAAGCCATTAGTTTAAGGACCCCAAATTAGCTTGAGGTACTCTCAATTATATTTTCTGTTAGAACAATTGTTCAGATAGAGTTATCTACATTACCACGATGCTTTATTTACTGTATTTAACATAATGACATTTAAACTGATTCCCCCAGCCCCCTAAAGAAGAACAGATAGAAACAAAATTATAAACAGGTAACTATCTCATTTACAAAATTAATTGATTTTAATCTCCATCCACATATTCCAACCATTTATACACTACTTTGTCACCAAGTGGAGAATGCAAGTATGTATTACTTGCATATGCACCACTGTAGCAGAAACTGCAAAGAATGGGTAGGGCTACTTGGGTTGTAAAACTCCAGATGACCTTAAAGTGACAGCAAAAGAGTTGGAGGTTTCTCTATCTCTTTGCTATCTGGAGTTTTGCAGCCCAGCTATGGTAAACCTAGAGATAGGATATAAGGGTAAGGGGTAGCTGCACTGAGAAGGGAAGGAAAGGAGGAGTGGAGAGTGGAGAAACAAAACTGGATGGAAACAAGACAAAGGGAAAAGGTAACTAACTGAATCGGAAGGAATGGGGAGAAACCCTATAAAGGATATAATAATACTATTACCACTAATAAGTTCTATTACATATTAAATTTATATGCCATCCAACTCCGAATGACTCTGGGCGGTTTACAATTATTAAAAACATTAAAAACAGAAAATAAAGATTATGAAATAATTCAGTACAGAAATTAATGGCTACAGCCAAAGTGTCGTGTTCACCTGTAACTTTTGGAATTAATTACAGATGTACTTTTCAGCTCCCTAAATACTGAATAGTTTATAGTTAAGTAAATACAGAATAGCCTTTTCAAAAGCCAGATTAAATGTGTTACCATCAAACATGCTATATGGTAGATTTCAAAAAATCCCCATTTCTCATTTTGTCCCTGTAATACTGATCTTGAAATGGTGGATCATATTTTATTGTATTGTGAATTTTATAAGAGTCTTCAAGCAGAACGTTATCTGGCCTATTTTAAAATCAAAACCAGGAAGAGATGCTTCTGAGTATGTTAAAATTTTACTTGCAGATGAAAATCCTAAAATTACAGAGGCAACAGCCAGATTTTTAACTATAGTTATAAAAACAAGGTTTTTAGTAACACATCAATGAGTTGAAGTTTTCAGTGTATTATGTAATATTTATTAAATATTTCACTTAAACTGTTTTATCTAATGCCAAATTTTAGCTTATATTTGTAACTTGCTATTTGGGCCTTTTGGCCATAAATAAATTTAACAGAATATAAAAACACAAAGGCAGCACAAGACAAAAGAACAAAGATGGTAAAGGAAACAAACCCTGAAGGGAACAAGGAAAAAGAAGAAAAGGGGCACCAGGCGTCCTCACCCAAGGCCTGGGAAGAGAGCCACATCTTCAGGCTCTCTGAAATATCAGTAGGGCGGGGGCTGTTTGAATCTTGGGAGGAACCTCATTCCAGAAGGCAGGTGTTGATATAGAGAGCACGCCTCCAGGTTCCCGACAGGTGGCCTTATTTAACAGATGGAACCTGGAATGCACCAACTCTGCCACATCGAACTGGTTGAGCAGATACTACGGGAGACGGGTGGTCGGCCCCTCAAGTAACCAGGCCCTAGGTAACCACCAGCACCTTGAATTGCCCCCAGAAGCAAGCTGACAACCAGTGCAGCTCACAAAGCAGAGGTGTTACGTGGGCATACCAAGGTGTGCCCATCACTGCCTGCACTGCTGCATTCTGGACCAGCTGAAGTGTCCAGGTGGCCTTCGAGGTCAGCCCCATGAATGCATTGCAGTAATCAAGCTGTGAGGTGATCAGGGAATGAGTGACTGAAGTGCCCCTGATCTAGGAAAAGATGCAACTGGTGCATCAGATGAAGCTGGGCAAAAGCCTTCCTGGTCACAGCTGCCACCTGCTCACTGAGCAAGAGCTGTGAGTCCAGGAAGACCCCTAAATTGAATGGGGAAGTGCAACCCCATCCAAGGCCAAAGTTGGAATATCCCCAGATCTGGCAGTCAAGTACCCAGAGCCACTCGGTCTTGGTAGGATTGAGTTGGAGATGGTTCTTCCCCATCCAAACCCACCCGGCTCCAGGCACTGGGACAGAACCTCGACAGCCTGGCTTGGCTGGCCTGGAGTTGAAAAATATAATTGGGTACAGACAGCTCCTGGAAAGCAGCAGCAGCAAGGCATCTGATGTACCTCTTGCTCATTCCTTTGTTTTCAACAGCTTCTATTTTATCAGTGGAAAAAAGGAAGATGGACCCCACTCCCCACTACTGGGAAAAATAACTCCTTCCACCAGGATAAATATAGTAATATTGGAGCCTTGTTCTCCGCTGATACTACCTTTCTTCTTGAAATGGAGAACTCTTTCTCACACTGCTTACAGTTGGTTGCTTCATCATCTTTTAGCCATGCGTGTCCCTAATATTTAAGCAAAATAATAATTTTTAGCTTAATTGAATGTATATAGGTTTAGAACAAATTAGACAATCTTTTGAAAGTTCCTGTATACTGTATTAATTATATATCTAGCTCCCCAAATAGATTTATATTAACCCATATCTATGCTTACATTGGGCAATTTGCTTCAAAATAAACATGCAGAGGATTGTGTTGCCACATTGGGAAATATTATATTGACTACTACATGCCATATTTAAAGAACAGAAAATATCAAGATGCTAGGTCAATATTTTTATAGTTTTACTAGATTGTCAATGACATTCCCCATGCAAAGTACTCATGAAGAGTAAGATACTAATAAAATGAGTTACCAGTCTCTTAAATGAATCTTAATATATTACTGAAGGAAAAATACCTTTAATGCTTTATTTACTTCTTTAATATCTTCCATTTTAAGTTTTGATCTGGAAAAAAAAATAAATCTAGTAATATTTTTCAGTTGCCTGGTATTAACCTACACCACCACACTTTTTCTTGTCATTAAAATACTGACTCATCTAAAGAAGCATCACTGCTACTGATACAGCACAGATGAAATTCAAATCAAGATGTTCACAAGTCAGAGTTCCTTCCCTTACTATATTACACTAATTCAATAAACTGTTTCTACAAGGAACAATTCCAAATTTAACAGACAAAATCCCCATGTCAATCACCATCCTCCAAATGCAGCTCCATTTTCTTTATTAACACTTAATACATTTATTGACTTCAAGAAAGAAGACTATTTGGGCCATTTCATACTTTAGTTACAACCAGAGGTTTACGTCTCAATTTATTTCAGGAAGCGCTACAGTATAAGTAAAAAAAGGTTGAAATAGAAAGCATGAACAGGCTTTAATTAGTAAAGGAGTGAAAATCTAATTTTAAAAGTGCTTTTTAAAATGTATAAATCCACTTTTTGATAAACTGCATTCTATTCTTTTTTGTTATACAAGTTCAATTAATAATGCAGTTCCTAAAAATGAAAGGCAAATAAAATGGGCACTATAAGAGACAGGGTTGTCAGATTACTGGTGACTTTGGTCTCAAGCTGTGCTCAAAATGGTACCTCTGTGCAGCAAGATAACTTTCACCCTGTCCAAGGTGGGTCTCTCTAGTAATGATCCATTTCTCAGAAGAGAGGAGGCTGAGGGCCAGAGTAGTTTTTCTCTCTGGCTTCTCCCTGGAGACAAGATTGGCTCCATTGGTAACAGTTTTCCAGAAATGATCCTGAAAGGCTTTGGGGTATTAACGTAATGTTGCCAGAACAGTTTATGTGGTTTTCGTTATTTGATTAATTTATATTTTACTGTGAATACTTTAATTGTTGCAACTCTTTGGTTAACAATTATTAGGTAGAAGTTATGGTGGTACAATTAAATAGTGACACAAATTACTGAAATATGCTTACTGGCTAAGGTGAAGCCCCATTTCTTGAAGGGCTTGTTCTTGTTCTTCACAGCTCTTTTCCAGCTGCTGCTTCTCTTCCTGCAGTTTTCGTAATTCCTAGATAGATAGATAGATAGATAGATAGATAGATAGATAGATAGATAGATAGATAGATAGATAGAATACATATACACACACATACATACACACACACAGACACATTTTATACATGCACACACAATACACAGACACAAATGAAATGCGCTATATTTCTATTAGCCAGTTTCCCCGCCTTTCCTATTTCATATAAAGTTCTTTCTAAACCTTCAATTTACTGGAGAAGGTAAAGAGAAAAGTAATACACTATCTGCAGTTGAAGTGTCCAGTTTTTTTGGAAAGCCATTCTATGCTCCTGTAGCATTCATGAAAGACTACAGTTGAACTGGCTTCTATCATTATGAACCCTCCAACAGGCCAGAGAACCTGCCCATAGAGAAATTTATTGTACAGTACTAGCCCCAAAAGTCACAATGCAAAGAGCAATACACCCTTTTAAACAGGAAGCTTCTATCATCTAGAGCAGTGATTCTCAACCTGAGCAATTTTATGTTGCTGGGGAATTCTGGGAGCTGAGGTCCACACCTCTTAAGATTGAGGTTGAGAAACACTGGCCTAGAGTAATTGGTCCTTCCCTAAATTACATTGTAATTAGCAAATGTCCTGTAAAATATTAATGGTGAGAGGATGGAATGAAGGGAATGGTGTAATCATTGTCTATTGACCTTCAATGTAATCCTCCTATATCTTTCTTAGAAACATCCCCCTATGCTTTTTTCACTCCAAGGGAGAACATTTTCCCTCTTCGTAAAATACCTAGCTGGCTTAACCATGCCCGCCTTCTCTAATACACTGTGGCTCCCAATTCCAGTTCTTCCATCCATCTTTTAATCTTTCTTGTCCTTCTCCTTTTTCACTGCACATTCCTTTACTCTGCTTGGGGCTGGGTGGGAGAGGCAGTCATTCACTTAGGAGCAAGCAAACGGATCATCATTTCTGGGTAGGAGATAATCCGGCCACTATGAAATCATGAGCATAACCTGCCTTTTTTCTCTTGAAAGAAACTAAATCATCACCTGCCTTACTTTTTTCAAACCTTCTACTTGCTGCAGTTCTGCTTTCAGCAAAGCTGTAGTGTCTTTCTCTTGATGTAATTCTTGCTGCAGACTCTGTCGCTGTTCTTTCTCAGATTTTAACTCTCTCTCAATAATGGAACTGTTTAAATTACAACAAAGAAGCAACATAAAGTTAGAAACAAAACCTATTTTCCAAAAGAATTTACCTTATTAGCATTATGATATAATTTTGAAAAATAGCAGGAGTTTGTTCTTTTCCTGAGGTTAAAAAAAGGACTCTTTCTTATTTCTGTGAAAACAGCTGCTAGGATCCAGATAAGTACTCCAGGCATGTTCAAGAGCTTATCTAGAGAGATTCTGGTTTTCATTTTGGTTTAAAAGCATACTCTGAACCCCTCTTAAAAATTACTTTTGGAACTCTCATTTATCGTGCAACTTTGAATCAAAATCCGAAAATCCAAATCTCTTTTTACTTCTTGAATAAATGTATGGAACTGGAAACCAGATCTGATTTAGAATTTTTGCCTAGCCTATGAAAATTCCTCTGAAAACTATTTTTGAAACTGTCCAAAAAAGAAGAACATTTTTAAACGTTTAGCCTTCACTATTATTTCCAAATGGAGGTAAAAAATACTAAATTTCTTAGGCACAAACATATTGATAAGATTGTTAGAAATGACATTTCCCAAAAATCATTGCTCATACCTCAGATCAGAGACTTTTGCTAATGTAACTGAATTTTGTTGTACAACAATTATCTTACTACTAAGCAAGAGGAATGCTAAGTGAGGGAAAGAGGAAAAGCAATGGGATGATGATCCCTCTATCCAAAACTTGCTGCCCAATAGCACCCCCCCCAAAACCCTATTAGTTTCAGCAAGAAAAATATTAATTGTGCCAGCTCCAGTTAAGGTAGATAAGTATCCAATCCTTGGGGATACAGTCCAAGGAACTGAAGTCTGCCCCCACCCCTTGAACACTTCCTTTTGGAGCTGCTCAGTGGTAGCAGATCCACAAGCCTGTATTGGGTGAGCACTGCCAGACCAGAGGTTCCTCCTTGCCAAGGGTGCTCATCCCTGTGGGTGGAAGAACACTTCTGCTGTCTTAGCAGCTAACTGATTTTGTAAACCATAAGTTGTAAACAAAATGCTATTCTTCTATCAAAAAGGATATGGATGCAAGAACATTAAGCTAAGCACATATAAGGCAAAAGTACCAGTTGCTATCCAGCTGGATTAGTTGCTGCTTCAGTGTCTCAATTTTGCTCCCCAATTCTTGCTTCAGTTTGACATTTTTCTCTTCTGCAAGCTGCCTGGCCTTCTCTGCATGCTGCAATCTACAAAAAATGGGATACACAGACCAGGTTGTGATTGTTACTTTTTGTATCACATCAAAATGACAAGCTCAGAACATTGGAGGCCAAATCATATGTTAACACAATAAAAGGAAAGGCCATTTCATGCCTCCTGCATCATGGAAAAGTTCTTGTTAGGGAGAAGCTGCCCAGAAAAAAAGGAAACAAATTGGCATACGCCTTTGATAATATCTTTATTTAAGGTGAACCTTTGGCCTCTGCCATACTGAAAACCTGAGGTGTTCTGCCGGCAGCTTCGTGCAGTAGTGTGAAAGAACTGGTAGGGAATGCAGAAGAAAAGAACTCAGCACAGCAAAGGGTCTGAATACTATGCCAATGTGATATTTCAGTTTTTCCTTTTTAATAAATTTACAGACATTTCTAAAATTCGGTTTTCACTTTGTCATTA